TACAGTGTTGCATGACCGCGCAATTGTCATTCAAAGTGTGATAGCACTGAAAGCTGAAAATTGGCCTGGGCAGGGAGGGGATGAAAGTGGTTACATAGGAGTCAGTACACACCTGCCATCATTTAACCTTTGGTTTATGCAGTATTTACTGAGTGTTTGCGGTTTTCGGTACATACAGCATACTAGCAATAGTGAATTGACATTTTCAGTATCGCACGCAACATGTGGCTGACTTAAACTCATGCAATAACCTTTAGTGAATTGACCCCATTGAGTCTTTGCTCTCACTATAAGCATACCAAAGAGCATGCAATATGAGTGAGAGGCCACATATTTATAAAATACATTCCTTCTCACTCTCTTTCGCCCCTTTTCCCCTTTCCCTCCCACTGAAAAAGATTAAAAGGAGAAGTACAACCAAAGCTCTTCTGGCTGTACTTCTCCTGTGGATCACAGGAATGCAGTTCGTTGTGCACGCTTGTGACCCATTTTCAGCTGACAGCGGGCTGACATCACTCAGTCCATCCAAGCTGGGGAAAGATCCCGACTTTAAAGTCAGGATCCACTCCAGAGTCTGGAGCAGCACCTGGCTCAGGCTCTCAGCGAGCCTGTTTAGAGCAGACAGCAGTGATTGACAGTCACCATTCTCAGTGGCTTTGAGAACGCAGCGATCATGTGATCACTGAGTTCTCACCCTTAGAGCCAGCAGGGGATTGATGCTGCGTCCATCCAGTATTATTTGGGGGGGGGGGGGGGGGGGGGGACAAAATAAAACCCACACTTCTCTCAAGTCTGTATATAAGCCTAACAATCATAATTGTTTATTTTCTCACGTGTTAAGATTATATTTAATGTAAATTGCTGTATCAGCTACAACACATCATGGTAGGACACAGGCTGTTCACAAAAACCTGAGTAAATAAAGTTTGTTTTAAGCATCCTTGGAAGTATCAGACTTTATTTATATTCAGTTGGGAAGCTAGGACAAGTTCTAATGGAGGCTGTAAACAAGCTTACTACTTCTGCTGTTCAACTCTTTCAGAGTCACTGACCTGGAACAAGCATGCAGGTTAGAAAATCAAAATGCCTGATACAGCTACTTATTTCAGCTTCATACCCTGGTGTCCAACCTGTGGCCCCTTGGCTTTTTCTATGGCCCTCGAGGTCCCTGCAGCTCTGTGTTTCCCTAGCACCCTGTCACAGTAGTGATTGCTAGCAGTCTCAATTAATATGTCTCCAGTCCACGATTGTCCCCTGAAGCATGTCCCCCAGTCTCCAACAACTCCTATAACTTCACCATATCTTCAGTCCCTGACCATCTCTTGTATTATGTCTGCAACCTCTGATCATCTCTTGCATCATACCTGAAATCTTTGACCATCTCCTGCTGTGTGTCTGCGATCTCTGACCATCTCTTGTATCATGCCCATAACCTCTGACAATATACTATTGTGTGTCTGCTGTCTCTGAATATTCACTAAATTTTATGTGTGGCCCTTTGATGTCAGGGGTGCACATTTGCAGACACCCATATCAAGAAAGTTGACCACCACTGGCTTAGTGTCTCAAAGTACTGAGGTCAGGGCATTGTTTTGCTACAAAGAGACAGATGCCTACGTGCATAATGGGTCATGGCACTCAAAGAAGCATCATGTGTTCTTGTTGGTATATGTGCCCAGGGTTGCTGACCCCTGGGTTGAATCCAAAGAACATAGGTATACCGCTCAGGCAAACAATCCACGACAGGTGCAGGCTCTGACTCCACACACGATGCAACAGGAAGAAGGGTCAACCACACACCAGAGGCTTAAGGAATATAGTGCATATTTATTTATCCATAGGACACACAAACACCAGGACATGACTACAGGACCTGTTAACGCGTTTCACATGATCTCATGCTTAATCATAACGATGATTAAGCACGAGATCGTGTGAAACGCGTTAGCATGTCCTGTAGTCATGTCCTGGTGTTAGTGTGTCCTATGGATCACTAGATATACACTATATTCATCAATCCTCCCGTGTGCGGCTGACCCTTCTTCCTGTTTGACCCCTGGGTTACTTAAATTTAGAAGGTTCTTTTGAGCACATTAAGGGAAGATTCCAGCCCAGGTATATTTTGTCAATGTTGTCCGTATAGTCTTTAATTGTAAAGACAACATTTTCTTTCCTATTGGAAAGGGGATGGGGGGGGGGGGGGGGGGATTGGCAAAGGTGTGACTTTTTGCATTATGATGTTTAATTGGTGAGGTACATTTGCAAAAGAATAAAAAATTTTTGTATATATATATATATATATATATATATATATAATATATGTGGCTGTGTGAAAGAAGTCTGAAGCTGCCATCATCCCTAAATGTACTAAACAAATGGAATTCCCCTACAGGTAGAACTTTCCAGGCAGCATCCGTTCACAAGCCAGAAAATCCACACCACCATATAAAATACAGTTTATTGAAGTTATATTAAAAAAAAAAAAAAAAAAAAAAAAAAGACAATATAATATAGCCACAAGTGTGATCAAGAAGACACATGATGATACCGAATTGTAGTCGGGCATTCGACACATTTCAAGATCAATAAAATTCTTCAGGGATGCAATGGCTGACTATAGTACATTCTAAGATATGAAGAAAAATACATAAATCATGTAAAATTTGTAAAATGCTTATATGTATTTTCTTCATACCTTAGAATGTACTATAGTCAGCCATTGCATCCCTGAAGAGATTTTTATTGATCTCGAAAACGTGTCATACGCCTGCTTACAATTCGTTATCTGCGTGTCATGCATTTTCTGTCTTGTGAAGGGATGCTACCTGGAAGGTCCCACCCATAGGGGATTCCATTTTTGTTTTTTTTTTTTTTTTTTACAGTGAAGGAAATAAGTATTTGATCCCCTGCTGATTTTGAACGTTTGCCCACTCAAAGAAATGATCAGTCTAAAAATCGAATGGTAGGTGTATTGTAACATTGAGAGATAGACATGCATTTCTTTTGAATTTTTTGTTGCTATTCTAACAAATTATGCACCGATTTGCATGTTCATGAGGGAAAGTATTTGATCCCCTATCATTCAGCAGGATTTCTGGCTACCAGGTGTCTTTCATACAGGAAAAGAGCTGAGATTACAAGCAATCTCTTAAAAGGGAGCGCTGCTAATCTCATTTTGTTAGCTGTATAAAAAGACACCTGTCCACAGGAGCAATCAGACCAAAGTGCTGTCCGAGGATGTCAGAGACAAGGTTGTAGACCTACACAAGGCTGGACTGGGCTACCAAACTATCACCAAGCAGCTTGGTGAGAAGGTGACAACAGTTGGTGCAATCATTCGCAAATGGAAAAAAAAAAAAAAAAAAAAACCACAAAACAACTGTCAGTCTCCCTAGGTCTGGTGCACCATGCAAGATCTCACCTCGTGGAGTGTCAATGATCATAAGAACAGTTGAAATCCTGCAGTGCCCGCAAGGTCCCTCTACTCAAGAAAGCACATGTCCAGGCCCATCTGAAGTGTGCCACTGAACATCTGTATGATGCAGAGGAGGACTAGTTGAAAGTGTTGTGGTCAGATGAGACCAAAATTGAGCTCTTTGGCATCAACTCAACTCACTGTGTTTGGAGAAGGAGGAGGAATGCTGCCTATGACCCCAAGAACACCATCCCAACTGTCAAACATGGAAACATTCTGCTTTGGGGGTGTTTTTCTGCTAAGGGGACAGGACAACTGCACCGCATCTAAGGGACGATGGACGGGGCAGTGTACCGTCAAATCTTGGGTGAAAACCTTCTTCCCTCAACCAGTGCATTGAAAATGGGTCGTGGATGGGTGTTCCAGCATGACAATGACCCAAAACATATGGCCAAGGCAACAAAGGAGTGGCTCAAGAAGAAGCACATTAAGGTCCTGAAGTTGCCTAGCTAGTCTTCAGACCTTAATCTGATTGAAAATCTGTGGAGGGAGCTGAAAGTTCGAGTTGCCAAATGTCAGCTACCAAACCTTAATGACTTGGAGAGGATCTGCCAAGAGGAGTGGGCCAAAATCCCTCCTGAGATGGGTGCAAACCTGGTGGCCAACTACAGGAAATGTTTGACCTCTGTGATTGCCAACAAGGGATTTGCCACCAAGTACTAAGTCATGTTTTCATGACGGGGATCAAATACTTATTTCCTTCATAAACATGCAAATCAGTGCATAATTTGTAAGACATGCATTTGTTTTGAATTTTAATGTTGCTATTCTGTCTCTCAGTGTTACAATACATCTACCATTCGATGTTTAGACTGATCATTTCTTTGCGAGTGGGCAAACATTCAAAATCAGGAGGGGATCAAATACTTTATTTCCTTCACTGTATATATAAAAACGTATTCTTTCACTGGAATATCTTTAGACTTGGGTCCGTGTGTAGGTGGCCGCTTTACTCAGGGTTTCTATGCCCCGATCCATTTTATTGCCGACCCCTGCTCTATAAAGTATCAGTAAGAGAAATCATAATAGAATACATAAAAGTAAAATACTTTTCAACTTGTAGGGAAATGCGGTTATATTCTTTAAAATCAGTAAATCACAAAATACACAATACACATTGTTCTTATGAAATGTTCTTCAAATTTATTCAATATGAATACTTGGAGAATATTTTTTCTCAAAACTTTGAATTTGCACTCACAGAGGTTTCAAAGTTTCCTTAATTGTAAAGAAATTAAGAAATTGTATTCTCACATTCCAAAATGAAAAGCGTCATGACACATACATAATACATAGACATACATCCTACCTTCCACACGTTTCTGTTTCCCACAGAAATACTGTGTATTTATGTGCACATACTGCAGAGGGTTTTCTGGCACAATTCAGTACACTTGTTTGTAGCGCCACATATTAAATGGTAATCTCATGTAAATTCCTTTATTAGAATGGATATAGTCTGTTATAGTTCTTTAGGCATAGATAAAAAAAGATCGAATAATGAAGCAGTCTATCAAGGCAAGACTCATGGCCTCTGGACCAGTTTACTTTTATTCACTTCCTGTTCATTAAGTTTGAAGTGAGTGTAAGCTAAAATACCAAGCAAAGTGCATAATATTCCAAATCCTTGATTAAGAGAGAGCGGGTCCTGGAATAGGATGTATCCTCCCAAAAGAGTAATACAGAATTTAAAGTGTCCAAACATGTTGTAGCTGAACAGATATGTTAAGGATTAAACTGTAATAGTAATGAGTAATAGGTTAGCAGTAAGAGATTATCAATAAATAGCACTGTAATAGGTTAATAAATAGCACTATAAAGATCACCTCTGTATAGTTTATTCTTTGTATTAGTGCATAGTGGTCCTACCTCTATATGGTTTTGCTTCCCTTAAAGTGGAACTGCACTGCATCTGATCAGCACAAACAAAAACCACTTTCATTCATTTTCAATATCCAAAGCAAACTTCCCCATCCATCCATGTCTCCATGCTTTATTTTGCTGAGAAGATTTTGAAGAAAATACTACAAATTTGGTAAAAATGTTGAAAGGGGCTTGCAGCTTCACAGCCAGGTGCCCGCTGCACATGTGCAAGAAACTCTGCGTTTTGTGAATGGCCCTGTAGTGTTCTGGGACCTGTCACGTGTCCCACAAGACTAAGGGGAGGGAGGGTAGGAGGACAACTTCCACTTCCGATTGCCTAGGCAATCACAGCCGAAGTGTGAGCAGGTACCAGTCAAATTCGGTTACCAATTCCCCTCCCGCTCCACAAAGGTGCCAATCCTTAATTGGGAGCGGGGGACAAAGACTTAAAGCAGAACTTCCCCTTTTGGGTGGAGCTCCACTTTAAGATTACTATCACTGGGAAGAAGAGGGCAAATTTCAACTGATTTGAAGTGCGAACCCCTAGTCTCTCAAACCTTTCAGTAACAACCAAATACTGGGTTATTCTAACAGGCAAAGCATCATTAGTCCAGGTAGTGTTGAAGTTTCCCATTATGCCCCACCCCCATACATTTCTACTGGCCCATCGCTATGAAGGGCAGTCTCTATGACCAATAGGAGGTAGATAAAAAGCTTTGGCACCTCCTAATCCTGCTGCTAACAGGTCAAGATGAGGCATCAGAGGCTGCTGCAGGCATTTCTAGGTGCCTGCACATCATACTTGCAGCAGTTTGCCCCTTTTCAGCATCAGATTCCATTTCCCAGCCCCCCTATAGGAGAAATACTGCTACAAGGCGGCACGGGTCCGCAAAATCATGTATATATGCACATGATTTTGCATTTCCGGGTAGGGGGGTGTGCCTTACTATTGCAGACATTCGCGGCCGTCAATCAGTGGGTCTCGGCCAGTGATAACTCGCCGGTGCCCGGTTATTACCGAGGATCTCCGATGGGTAAGAGAACTGTTTTGTTTGCTAACAGTTCTCCCTGTGAGCTTGGGCACACTGCTTTGGATGACTGCACAGCACAGCCATCCAAAGCAATGTGCTTACAGTGAAGCACACAGACACCACCCCATAGTGAAAAACACCCTGCACACAGTTAACCCTTTGATCACCCCTCATGTTAACTCCTTCCTGCCCAGTGCTATTAGTACAGTGTGAATTTTTTTTTTTTAGCACTGATCACTGTATTTGTGTCACTGGGGATGTCAGTGACACCAAGTCAGTTCCCCCCAGTGTCAGAATGTCCGCAACAGTCCCACTACAAGTCACTGATCACCGCCATTACTAGTAAAAATTTAAAAACAAAAAATCCCAGTATATATACACCGCCATTTGTAAATGCTATAACTTTCATGTAAACCAATTAATTTACACATATTGGGATTTTGTTTAGCAAAGACATGTAGCAGAATACATTTTGGCCTAAAAATTTATGACAAAATTTGATATTTTAAATTTTTTTTACTAGACATGTTTAATAGCAAAAAGTAAAAAATATTGTTTTCTCTCAAAAATCTATAGTGCAAAAATATTTAATAAAAAAAAAAAAAAAAAAAAAAACCACTAAAAAAAAAAAAACAAAAAAAAAACACATGCACAGGCGATCAAATGCCACCAAAAGAAAGCTCAATTTGTGGTGGAAAAAAGGCTGTAAATTTCATTTGGGTACAGCGTTGCATGACCACGCAATTGTCAGTTAAAGTAATGCAGCGCCCTAACGCAAAAAATGGCCTGGTCAGGAAGGGGGGGGGGGGGGGTAAATCCTCAGGAGGGCAAGCATTGAAACCATAAAGCTAAATGTGATTGTCATTTACGAGATAAAAATTTTTTTACAAACGTGTTATACTTACCTGCTCTGTGCAATGGCTTTGCACAGAACAGTCCTGATCTTCCTCTTCACGGGTCCCCCCCCCCCCAAGCTGAGTGCCACCATAGCAAGTAGCTTGCTATGTGGGCACTGGTGCGGGTTCGCTCCCTAGCCAGCTCTGTGTGTCCAGCGCCCCCACCCCACTCCCTCCTCACTGGCTGTGATTGATAGCAGTGGTAGTCAATGGCTCCCGCTGCTGTGTCTGAGCCAATGTGGAGGGAGAGACACAAAAGAGCCACTGCTCTCATGCACATCACTTGAATGATATTGGGCTCAGGTAAGTATAAGGGGGCTGGCGGGAAGATTTGCATACTGAAGGTTTTTACCTTAATACAGAGAAGGCATTCAGGTTTTAAAAAAAAAAAAAACAAAAAACACACACCACACACATTCAAGCTTTATAACAGCTTTAAACCCATATTATAACCATTATAATACTGGGCTCAGTGTTGGCGCTGCATGCTACCAGAACTACACTGAATACAGTAATACTGAGCACCCTATGGAGAATGGAGATATTACGGAGGGGTCCTTCATGGTTCCAAAAAGTTTTCTTTGTGGTTTGATGTTTAATTCACCACTTGCCTACCAGGCACCTATACCCCCTTCCTGCCCAGGCCAATTTTCAGCGCTGTTGCACTTTGAATGACAATTGCTTGGTCATGCAACACTGTTCCCATATGAAATTATTTTTTCCACACAAATAGAGTTTTCTTTTGGTGGTATTTAATTGTTGCAGAGTGTTTTATTTTTTGCTCTATAAACAAAAAAAAAAAAAAAAATAAAGAGCAAAACCTCACGCGGCGAGGAAAGTGCAGCTGATAACCAGAAACTGCATTTACTGGTGATCTGCTGTGTCATTGGACACAGCTGATCATGTGGTAAAAGGCTGCTGTGATTGGACTTTTACCACATCACATGATCAGCTGTGTCCGTAAGATTGATTGGTCAGTGGATAGACGTGACACCCATGCATGGACATAAAGGCATTCATCCTGACACAAGCTCAATGTACATTTAATGGAATATCGTTTTTATAATGTAACAAGGACATACAAGATTGAAAAGGATACGTAACTGGTGAAGTATTCCCAATTATCCAATAGATAGACAGGTTTACAGTGAAAGCAATAATACCAGAGAAAAGCACCATTATCTGAAACAAAAATAAGAGAATTTTTAATATCAATGAACGCTTGATAAATATATATTTATCTGTCTATAGTCTAAACTTACCACAGCTGTAGGTGACCATGGTCCAAATATCCCCCCTTCTCCAATTACTGGTTCAAAGAAGGGCACAACAGCCAACATCATAGCTGAGGACAAAGGTGCTTGGTAGTACAGCAACTGCATAGAGTTGACCTGTAACTCGTGCTGCTTGGCTCCAACCCACTGCAAATAAATGAATAATCCAAAAAAAAAAAAAGTTCATGATAAAACAACCCAGGCTAACTACAAGCAAAATTGTACTTGTTAAAGTATAGGACCTAAATTTGAAATAAAGCAACAATGCAAAAAAACTAGTACAGTCTAGGAAGTAACGTATGAATGTACATAAATGACAAATTATTCTAAAGGTCAGTTTGCGTCTTTGCTATTCTCATTTACATTTTCCAGATGCTTTGTTTATTTTCCTCAAGACTACAGATAACCTTGTTCCAGAGCAAAGCAACAGTACAGGTCAACATGCGGCATCATGGAGAGGAAGCTATTCTTTAATCCCAAGCAACGATCATACCGCCCACACATAAGAAAAAAAAATAAAAAATTTAACGGCTGCTTTTACCTACGCAGGATGCACAGGTGTTCCTCGCAGCCCCTTTCAGACAGCTACCTGCATGGATATCCACAAGCATCCATGCAGGTCTGATGTATGGATCAGGACGCAGACAGAATGCATCCTGATCCGTGCATTGGACCCACATGGGTGTGCACTGCAGGATGCATGTGGAGAACAGTGCAGCCAGCCTCCTGTCATTGACTGGACCAAGCTGCCTGCATGTTACATCATGAAACACCTGTGCATCCCATGTAGGTAAAAACAACCCTTCTCACAGGTGTATGGATTGGTACACCCATGTGTAAACATATTACGTTATTTCAATTAATTACATTTAAACTTGAAAATGACAAACATCTGAAGCACTGTTCAGTTACAAAATTAAAGTATAACTAAAACCCACACACTTTTATTACAAGCAGTTCAAGTACTTGAATTTGGCATCAATCTTTTGTCATCCCTGTATAGTAGAGCTCAGACTGGGAGGGGGAGAAGCTGCATAAGTCAGTTGTGCTGCAGTGTTCATGTTCTAACATGAAACATACTGATATTTAAACATAGAGTGATGAGCTTATCAATAACTGTAAGTGGGGTGGGAGATGGAGACAATAAATCTCCAGATCACTGTAAGAAGATTTAACTGGTACCACACCCCTTATTTGAAACCGTAAATAAAACGCTAACCGAAGAAGTTAATGGGGTTTTCAAGGTGCCACACCATATGCAAAAAAAGTTGAAGCTTACCTCCTTTTATTAATTAAAAAAACACCACATTGGTAGGGCATGACAATAGGACACAGATCATAATAGGTCCAAATGTGTTGGACAGACAGTACTACAAAATGTAGCCTACTGACATTAAATCACAGATTGAAATAATGATACTCTTAGGATGATTCCTTGACATCTTTGGTGCCGATACAATACTCTTGTAAATGCGGTCAGCCTTCCATTTCATGGTTTTCTTTTTTAATTCTATGTATTATAACAGACATATATCCATAATGTGCTCTGGGCCTATTTTTGCTTTATTTTAGAAATTTATACTTAGTCTCCCTGAAAAAGCAGGCTTTGTCCTGTGTTGACCAAATCTATAGATTATGAAATATATTTCTCTGATATGATTTGGTAAATGAAGAGTTCTTACCCAGAAGTGAAAGGTTTAAACACAACAACCAAAATTTATTGGTGAATAGGTTGGAGGTCTAAACTAACACAATCTAGTTACATAAAAAAGATTATTAAGAAAGCTCAAACATATTACAAAATACAAACAATGAGACAGAAAAGACATATGACAAACATTTAGATATAAGTGCAACGAATATATTCCATAATTACCATGGAACTGGGACATACAAGTTCCATTCCCTTCCCTGGTGTTCCTAAGAGCCTCTCTCTCTAGTGTCCATAGTTATAGGCCTCTCCTCCATTAATTTTCATGGAGTATCTCTGATTGGTTGGCCAATCTATTCCCTTTCATAATTAGCTAACTTCAAATCCTCTGGATTTAGCATCCACCAACCCACTTAAAAGGCAAATCTTGGCACACCCTTTATGGAATTTAAGTATTCCAGTTCATGACCTTTTCCTGGGAAACAAAGTATTCATGAAAGGCTGGCCACCTTCATTGCATATCTAAATGAGATATCCTTTGAGTGCATATTTGTGAAGCCAACAGGTTTTGTCCCATTGTTAGATAAACTAACTCTGGCACCAAACTGTCTGAAAGGATTCTCAGCAAAGACTTCTGTTATGCAGGCCATAGACGGGTCATTTAAATCGGCCAAATTTTCGTCTGAACGGAAAATCGGCTGATATTCACGCCGTTAGTGGGGCAATGCCAACGGCCATATTTTGCAGATCTTCTTGTTTCTTTTTATCGGTAATGCTGGAAAATCCACGAAAAATGGCCGTTTTTCGTAAGCATTGGTGGCAGCATCCATGGCAGCAACTACCAATTTTTCGTTTACCGGCCGAAGCCCGTCTATGGCCAACCTTATACAGTAAAGAAGGTGTAAATAGAATATTCCCCTTTGCCAACTATGGTATCTATATAACAGGAATTTATGTGAAGACATATTGCACACCCACACTGATACAGCTCTAACTGAAATATATACTGTATAATATTCATAATTACAATATTATTTACAGTGTTTAATGGAGATTTCACATAAACTCATTATCTAACACCTGTGAAACGCGTTGGAGTAACAAAGTATCCACTTGTACTTAAAATACTCTGTTAATTGCTCCAGCATTTATCGGCACCAAAGATGTCAAGGAATCATCCTACGAGTATCATTATTTCAATCTGTGATTTCTTGTCAGTATGCTACATTTCGTAGTACTGTCTGTCCAACACATTTGGGCCTAGTTATGATCTATGTGTCCTCTTGTCATGCCCCACCAATATGGTGGGGGTTTTTTAACTAATGAAAGGCGGTAAACTCTTCTTCAACTCTTTTTTTCTTATTTTTATATTGTTGTTATATATGGTTTGGTACCTTAAAAACCCCCATTAGCTTTTTTGGTTCGGGTTTTATTTACTGTGATGAGCTTATCAATTTGCTGCTTCTCTTTTCACTGTCCAGTCACAGTGGAGGAAGCACAAATTCTGCAAGTGGTACCTAACTGCAGCATAGAAAATCAGCCCTCCTGCCCCACTAGACAGAGCTGTTTTGTGTCAATCTCAAAAGTGAATGGATAGAAATGCAAATCCTTTGTCAAACAAAACAGCTTTTCTCTCTTTTTTCCCCGGAATATAAGTATTTAACTGTTTGCCTGACATGTGGCTTTAAAAATACAGATCAAGCAAAACGTTTTTAAACAGAGTCCACATGCTCCTCAGTGTAATTAATCCTAACATTTCATATTCCTGATATATGCTTGCTGTACCATGTACTTGTATGAAAAAAAAAAAAAAAAAAAGTATCCTGTTCTTTGTATCTCTTAGTTTGTGTGAAATCCCTGGTGTTCCTACCTTTCCCTCTGCATTCCTATTAAAAACCAACCACACTGAGCAGGAAAACAGCATGGTCAGTTCTCTAGCTGTGCATGGAACCCAGTGTGTGCTCATCCAATGATCAGACCGACACTCCCCTCCTGCACAGTCCTTCACTGGGAAGACCAGTGTTCTGCTGTTTCTCCTCCCCTAGCTCTTACACCGTTGAGAACAGAGGGAATGCCATCACTTATAAAAAAAAGAAAAAAAAAGGGTAAAAATGTTTATAATTATTTTTTTTTTCCTCTATCTCTACACAAATGTCCTGCATTTCATTGCTATTTTAAAATGAACGGGTTGTTTTACAAGGTGAGGGTTTACGTATACTTTAATTAGCAATGCAAAAATAATATTGGGGTAACGGATCTCAGCTCTCTGGTTAAGTGGCATTATACTGCAGAACACGTATGAAGAAGTTGATACAAACCACTTGGTAAAGGGATGTTACAAAGACACCAAGGGCAGCAAACACCATCCCTAGAGCATTGAACTTCACATCGTAGTAGGAGTTCAGAAACACTCCCAATGTTATAGGTATCTGCAAAAGAAAATTGGAACTGTGATCACACACGCCATCAAATACATCAATATAATAAATCCCAAAAGTAAAAAATATAACACCAAGTTACCAGAAATCCCCAGACAGATTCTAAAGCAGTCCATAGATTATGCAATTTTCTTTCTTGGCACCATGGGTAAGCAAGAAATAAATAAAGCTGCTATCTTGGCCTTTCTTTGACCTGTAGTTGAAATGGTGCTGCACATGATAAGCTATGAAATCAGCCATTTGATGGCTTGACAATTAAAGAGCACAAGCAACTGTGACAGTTATCATGCAAGGCATACCTTGAATGTAATGTTTTGGGAAACAGTTAAAGTAGTGGAACTCATTCCACTTTAATGTGCACATTCCTTGCAGAGCAGTAACACTTGCTAGTGAATAATGAAGCAAGATTCAAATGGCAGTTCTAGAATCTGCATCATCACAAACAAGTTGAGGTTATCAATTTTTTTTAATCTCAAACAGGAATTTTTATAGTGTATGCAAGTCCTGACTTGACAAGATTTATTACATAGTCCAGATAAAATATATATATATATATATATATATATATATATATATACATACACACACACACACACACATATACATACATATATATACACATATAGATATATATATATATATCTCACATACACCATATATATTTTATTTGCTGAATGTGCCAAAGGAGTATGTACCATTTTATGTCAAACATAAAAAATTTTGAGAAAATAAACAATTACCAGCATTTTTGAAGTCTCAAAACCACACACATGCTTGTGGCTTCAGCTAAAGTGCCCCTATAGTGGGTTGTACCAGCTGGTGGGAAAACCCTGCCCATGCAACCTCAGCATGCAGATTCTACTTGTCAGGATAATACACTACACAATCTGATTATATAATCTACCGTCATCTATGCAGTGCAAGGACCTTTCATTTGACACTAACTGAATGGATTGTATAAGAATAGCCTTATATTACACAGTTATGGTAAATCTAAATGAAAATTGTACAATCAGATTATATAACCTCCTTTAGCTTTATCAGAACTTTGTAATATGGTGACACATAACAATCCATTGAATTGGTATCAAAGTAGGCAGGACCTTATACTACATAGTTGACAGGAGATCTAAAGGAGATTGTATAGAAAAATGGTCAGCCTCCTCAGGCCCCTTTTACATGGAGTGGATTCTGTTCTAAACAACAGGGGGAGCTGCTCACAGATCCCCTGTTGATCAGAGCAGATCAGCGAGGATGACAGGTCTGTGTCCGCTCAGTTTATGCAGAGCGGATACAGACAGCCCATTCTGCTCTATGGCTGGCCAGGTGTAAACAGATTCCACTGCCGTTTACACCCGACTGTCCTCTGATACGCCCAAACAGAAAATGTATCCCCTTTGTTTTTTTTGTAGCGGACTGGGAGGTAGGCAGGTGTAAAGGGACACAAGTCCATCTGCCTGTCCACAGGGATGGATGGACCTTCTGATCAGGTCCACTTGAAAAACTGACAGGCAGAATGATTGGAACAGCTGTGTGAAAAGGAACTTAAGGTGGCCATACATGCTACAATTTGATTAAAATATCCCTGTACAAGATAAATTACATTTACCAAAATTATATGGGGACAAACCTTTACAATCCAAACAATTTATATTACCTTGCACAAGCCCTTACATTACATAGGTTTTGCAAGATCTTAAAGCTTAACTCCACCTTTCTTTCCACTTTAGTTTGTTTGGGCCAAGCTGACCCATATGAACTATTTCCTGTACCAATTGCCATGGCTGCTGTCAGCACTGTATATAGTACCAGTTGCATGTATTATTGTGTTCCAGCAGTGGTACGGGGCCTTATCTGCTGTTGGAACAAAATCAAGTCAGGCTGAGTGATGCCCAGCTATTCACAGGAAGCCTTGTATTTTTAATAATTAATGAAAGCATTCCTCTGAATGGCTGAGGTGGATATTGTGGCATATCTACCTACCTCCAATCAAATGAAACCTTGTATTCTCTGTTACAAATACAAGGCTTCTTGGTTTTTGTTCCAGGAAAGGGACAAGAAGTCCCCATACTGCTGCCAGAACACAACACTGTATGCTGGATGTAACTGAAACTACAGGCAGTGTATACAGTGCTGACAGCGACTGCAGCAATTAGTAAAGGGGCAATAGTTTGTTTGGGCCAGCTTGGCCTTTAAAGTAAAAGGAAAGATGGAGTTAGTCTTTATTCTCAACATACGTTACAATGTGATTGTATAATCTTCTTTAGATATACCAACGAGTATGCAGTGGAAGGGCTTGCCTAACTGGATAGTTTAGGTAGGTTCTCATATTACAAAGTTATAGCAAAGCCTAGTACACCATCAGTTTCTTTTCGTTCAGGCCACTGAATAGCTCAGGAGTAGATCTTGTACCAATCCTAAAAAGAGTTCAGAAGGAGATCCTGTACTAACAATACCACCCACCCCCACAGGTCAGCGACACAGGTTAGATAGGCATTCTATCCAACAGAAGCTGTCCGACCGTCTGTCTTCTGTCAAAGTGGCATGACCAAAAGAGGTTTACCGATCGGCACTCTATGGCTTAGAGCGCTGATCAGATGCCGATCAGCAAACCTTTTCAGTCATGCCCCTTCGACAAAAGCCAGGCAGTCGGCCAGCTTCCGTCAGACTGGCTGCCGTACACAGGCCAAATGTCCACCTGATATTTGTCCAGGCCTTAATTCTTAAGTTGACTGTACAAAGTTTGCATGGTCAGACTGTACTGTGTATGGTGACCCTAAGGCAGCTTTCCTCAACCTTTTCAACACAGAGGAACACTTGAAATAACTTTCCAGTCTCAGAGAAACCCCTGCTAAAACATACTATATCTACAACTCATGACACATTAGTGTGATGGTCAGTGGGTAAAATGCTCTTTACACATGGTCAGTGGGAAGAATTCCCTCCCTACAGATAGCTAAAAAAGATCAATGGTGTCAGTGGGAACTTATCTGAGAGGCAGAAATTGCTCTTTGCTCAAAGAACTCTTAGCAACCTATGGATAAACCATAGGGTTCCATGGAGTCCTGGTTGAGAAACCCTGCATTAAAGAGGTTGTACAACCAGATATTAAAGTGTAAATATCAATCAAGTGTCACACTTCACCTATGATTTGAACCAAAACCACCAACATAAACATCTCTTAATGAGTGTCCATGTGTTGACATTCTATATGGTTGTACATCTTCACAGATGCTTGAATTGCAAATTACTTCTTGAAACACGTCGTGCTTGTATACACTGCAAACCAATAAACATATGTACACACCTCCACCGGATGTGCTCTCACCTGATGTACATGACCAAACCGCTAATCGAGATCATATATGGCATGTGCCCCCTATATGGACTAATGTTTTGTGTCCGATGAGCATGAATCTCCTCCACTCTCCTAGCTCTCCTCAAAAAAAAAAAAAAAAAAACCCTCCACACTATAAGGGGTTAAACCAGCATAGTTCTACACTCATCCCATACACAGCAACTCCGCATCTGTTGGATCACCTCTGGATTGTACTTCAGATAACCTCAGCTTCTCACAAGAACAGCGCTGGTGTCACTCAAAACTGACTTTCTGGCCTCATCAATAGGTCATTATGCGCTCAACATGTGGACAGACTTGGGTACACCCTCTGTGGTCTTTCTCCAGCTCCTCTCCCGGCACTGCCACAGTATACACTCCTCCAGTTGACGCTCCCATATAATATGTATTATGGAAAACAAAGAAGTGGAACCATAGTGCTCCATTTATAAAACTATTTATTAGTGCCCAGATTAAAAACACTTACAAAATGTAAAAAAACTAGCCAGCATAATGTATAATTTGATTACATGGCTCACTACCCCGCTCTCCCGGATGGTCATCCGTTCAAAACATCTAGGGCTCAGCTCCTTCCCCCTCTATGCGTTTCGCCCCAGTTTCAGGCTTCCTCAGTACATTTTAAAGTGTTTGGCCAGCTTAACATTGTATAATCCGCAGGGTTGGAAGATGCAAAAACCAGCCAACCCCATAGAGTTATCCTAGAGCAACGGATTTAGAACATGCAATAATAATCTCCTAGATTGTAAACTCCAAGGAGCAGGGCCCTCCTATCCCTCTTGTATTGAACTGTATTGTTGCTGTATTGTCTCCCTTTATATTGTAAAGTGCTGAGAAAACTGTTGGTGCTATATAAATCCTGTATAATAATAATAATGTGACGCCACACTCACCAAAGTAAGCTTGATCCTGAGCGAGAAGGTCTTCCCGTACCAGAGGGTTTGGATGAGGATGATCATGGGGGTAGTCATGACTTTGGCCAGCTGGTAGGTCCCTATGGTGTTGTTCTGTAGAGACAGGTTAGTGAAGACCACAAAGCCACAGAAGCTGAGAGCCAATAGTAAGACCTTGGAAGTAGGGAGAGACTTGGGGCAGAACACCCCCAATCTCTGGCACAGGAACAGTCCCAGCCAGGTGACCACAAAGTGCACCAGGGTCAGGCTCATGTTAGGGAAGCCATGGTGAACATAGATCCACTTGTTGATGAAGACAATGCAGATGGAGGACAGCAAGTTTACCAGAAGGCCAGAGGCAATCCTCCAGTGAGGGGACACAGACATGATGGATGGAATGGGGACGATGTCTGGTACAATGGAGCAGAGGAAACACACAGACAGGAGACCGCTGCAGGGAGAGGTCAGGTAGCGGGACACAGCACGATCACATAGCGGAGGAACAGGAATACGAGTCAGCCTCTACTAGTCATCCCTGCATGTCTAACCACGAGTTTTGTTTCCGCGCACGCGCACTATTCGGACACGTCACAGAAGCCCATTCACTCGGTGAGGGCGTGTCTTGATTCTCTGGTGAACTCTGTCCCGTTTATTTCGGGGACGTGAGAGCTGAATACCGACTTCTGCTCAGCTCCAATGTGACACGTACAGAGCAACGTGACAGAGAGGCTCAAATGTACTGCCAATTCTTACCATAGGTACAGAGAGGAACATGGAGTCGTGACCACGGAGTATTACAGGCAGGAAGAGCAAATGGGATTGGGACCCTGGGAGGTTCCTGCTATGTTGTGGATTTAGAAGGGTGGAGGACAGGGACACAAGGGAGCCAAGACCCATGCAACATGATTACCTCACAGAGCAAGGCCCAGGTTTGTCAGCAGCCCCCAATGTTAAAGACAAGCGATGCTTCTGTAAGGAGATATACATACAGGCGTAGCTCGGTTTACGAACTTAATGCGTTCTGCAGGACTTCTCGTATTGCAAAAAACTGGTAAACCGAAATGCACTTTCCCATAGGAATGCATTGAAAACCTCTCCTAGATTGTAAGCTCCAAGGAGCAGGGCCCTCCTATCCCTCTTGTATTGAACTGTATTGCTGCTGTATTGTATTGTAAAGCGCTGAGCAAACTGTTGGCGCTATATAAATCCTGTACAATAAGTCAGAAAAAAGTCTTCTGTTCAAAACTTTATAAAGTGCACTTTAAAAAGGCATAGTACTGTACAGGGACATAAAAAAAAAAAAAGAAAATCATAAATGCATTGAAAAGCAATTAATCCAGTCGTATTGCGAAAAAACAAAAAAATAAAAACTCGGAAACAGGCATTATTTTCATTCATAAAACCGAACATTACATTAACCAAGACAAATGCCAGTCCGGGGGCGGACTGACCATTTGGAGGCTTGGGCACTGCCCGAGGTCAGTAGGGGGCCCCATGAGATACCTTTTTCATAGGATTTTTTGAGTTTGGGCAAGGACACAGGAGCCCCATGATCCCCTATTGCCCAGGGGCCCCATGAGTTGTCAGTCCGCCCCTGGTCCCCGCCCTCCAAATCATTGGATTCAGGTGTTCCAATCACCTCCATGGCCACAGGTGTATAAAATCAAGAACCTAGACATGCAGACTGCTTCTACAAACTTTTGAGAAAGAATGGGTTTCTCAGGAGTTCTGTGATTTCAAGCGTGGTGCACATACAGTGCAATAAGTCCATCCGTGAAATATCTTTGCTACCAAATATTCCATGGTCAATTGTTAGTGGTATTATAACAAAGTGGAAGCAACTGGGAACAACAGCAACTCAGCCATGAAATAGTAGGCCATGTCAAATGACAGAGCGGGGTCAGTGCATGCTGAAGTGCACAGAAGTCACCAACTGCAGAGTCAATAGCTAAAGACCTCCAAACTTTGTGTGGCCTTCAGATTAGTACAACAGTGTGTAGATAGCTTCATGGAATGGGTTTCCATGGCCGAGCAGCTGCATCCAAGCCTTACATCACCAAGTGCAATGCACAGCGTCGGATGCAGTGGTGTAAAGCACGCTTCCACTGGTCTTTAGAGCAAAGGAGATGTGTTTTCTGGAGTGACGAATCATGTTTCTCTATCTGGCAATCCAATGAACGTGTCTGGGTTTGGCTGTTTCCAGAACAGGACTTGCCTGACTGCATTGTGCCAAGTGTAAAGTTTGGTGGAGGATTATGGTGTGGGGTTGTTTTTTTCAGGGTTGGGCAAGTTCCATTGAGGGAAACTCTTAAGGTGTCAGTATACCAAGACATTTTGGACAATTTCATGCTCCCAAGTTTGTGGGAACAGTTTGGGGATGGCCCCTTCCTGTTCCAACATGACTGCGTACAGGTGCGCAAAGCAAGGTCCATAAAGATATGGGTGAGCGAGTTTGGGGTGGAGGAACGTGACTGGCCTGTACAGAGTCCTGATCTCAACCAGATAGAACAGAGTGGAGACTGCGGGCCAGGCCTTCTCGTCCGACATCAGTGCCTGACCTCACAAATGTGCTTCTGGAAGGATGGTCAAACATTCCCATAGACACACTCCTAAACCTTGTGGACAGCCTTCCCAGAAGAGATGAAGCTGTTATATCTGCAAAGGGTGGGCCAACTCAATATTGAACCCTACGGACTAAGGCTGGGATGCCATTAAAGTTCATGTGCGTGTAAAGGCAGGGGGCCCAATACTTTGGCACCATCAAATATTGGAGCAGGTAACTCCTGTTTATATTGCAAATCTTATCTGTTAATGATCTCATTAACAGTGGGCTCCCATATAAAACGTCCAAAAACAAATGAGAATAACATCTCAGTTGCAAAAAATTGTCTTTACTTCAAGTGTATCTGCATACAAACATTAGTACAACTATGCAGTTCTAAGCATGAAGATACAATAGATAGATAAGCTCAGTAGCAGGTTGTGCTTGACCCCCTGGATGAGTCTGAGCAAAGTGAAAAAGGCACAGCAGGATCTTGGTGAAGAAAGTTGTGCTTTATTTACAAGGCTGGTGATCACAAAGTGCATATATCCAAAAATAGCATAAAAAATATAAACAGAAACTAAGGCCTTGCCACATTGGGCATTGAACTGCAAACCACTGCTCAGACACATGGCATTCACACAGAGTATCTCCAAGTCCCAAATCACACAGACTTACTCTCACCGCAGTGATGTTTGGTCCCCCCCACCCTGAACCTGTACACACAAAAAAAAAAACCCTGGTTCCAGGTTGGAGCATTCTCCCTAAGCAGCCTGGGAGTTTTAGAGCCCTTAACCTACTACAGATGAGCTCATTACATCATCAGTGAGCCAAACAAGCTCACTACACAGCATAAAATATATAGATAGATAGATAGATAGATAGATATACATACACACACCTACCTGTAGGCAGGGTACTACAGTGGATTGTAGACATGTTTCGAATTGATTCATTGCTACTAATTTCGTTTCATTACTTTTGTAGTGAAATTTGTTTTGTTTCATTTATTTTGTTTTCAACCAGATTCAAATTTTTCCAATGGATTCAAAGTATTGGAATCAAAATAGAATCAATCCAAATTCATTGTGAAAAATAGCTGGTTCTATTCTAATTAAAATTTTAATTTTTGAAGATGGTTATATTCTTTCTATTTTATTCTATTTGAATCTATTTTTCTATTCTATTTTTTTCTATTCTAATCTATTCTTTTGTATTTATTCTGTTCCTTTATTTTCTATTCTATTTTATGCTATTCTTCTATTTTCTAGTCTATTCTATTCTGTCCTGTTTTACTATATTCTATTCTGTTCTATTCTATTGCATTCTATTGTATTCTATTTTTTATATTCTCTTCTATTCTGTTTTTCTTTATTATCTATTCTATTCCTTTATTTTCTATTCTTTTTTTACTGTATTCTTTTCAATTGTATTCTATTCAAATCTATTCCTTTTTTATTCCATTCTATTCTATTCCTTTATTTGTTTATTATATCCTTTTGTATTCTATTCTGTCTTCAAATTTCAGTAGAAAGCTATATTCGAACACTAATACATACAGACTTTGGAGGAAATTAGCAATATTCAGCAATATGTTTATATTTAGAATTTTATTTTGTTTTCAAATTCGGTTTCATATGTTATTCAAATTTCAGATGTTATTTCATTATGTCAGATTCGTTTAAATTCATTACTATTATAATTCAGAAATTCAGATACATCCGAATCTCCAAATATCAAAAAGTTTGTCCGAATTTTGATTCGAACGAACCGCACGTCTAGTGTATTACACTAGCAAGGTAGTCGGCTTGCTGGGGAAGGGTTAAAGTGAGTCTAAAGGCTCAAGGTTTTTTACCTTCATGCATTCTATACATAAAGGTAAAAAACTTTCTTTGTGGAGCAGCCCCCCCCCAATACTTACCTGAGCCCCCTCTCGATCCAGCAATGTTCATGAGACCCGCGGCTGTCTGGGGACTCTCATTCCTGATTGGCTGAGGCTGCAGCAGCAGCCATTGGCTCCCACTTCTCTCAATCACAGCCAGTGAGCCAATCAGGAGAGGGAGGGGGCGGCGGAGCAGGGCGGAGCCACGGCTTTGTGTATGAATGGACACGCAGCTCTGGGGCGTGCCTGCTTGTGTGCCCCCAGAGCAGGCTTCTTAATCTGGGGGCATTCAGCAGGGGGACCAAAGAAGAGGGGAATCAGGGTTGTTCTGTGGAAAACCACTGCACACAGCAGATAAGTATGACATATTTGTTATTTAAAGTAAAAAAAAAAGACTTTAATGTCACTTTAACCTCCAGCACCTCAGTTTCCAAGCTTTTCACGCTGTGTGGTACATAAATAGGAAGAAGGTCTGGTTCCAGGGGGAGCTGGAGGGAGCTTGAGATCAAGGAAACTCACCACTTCTTGGCATCCAGGAGCCTGAGAATCAGTATGTAATCCAGCTGTGAGTTTGGTGTACCGATAGACACTACCAGTTATTGGAGATTGCCAGTCATGGAGTGACGTGTAAATGTATGCCTGGGCAGAAACCCCCGTTAGTTTAGGGTTTGGACTTGGACTTGTATCTGTTGTTTGTTCAGTGAAGAATGGTTTGAACTTTGTTGTATCTGTTGTTCGGTGAAGAAGAGCTACAGTAAAGTATGTTAAACTGTTCCAAAGCCTAGTTTGATGTCATTAAAATGGGTTCATGATGGGTCATGGCATATCAGAAGAACAGGGTCAGTAAAGCACGACGGTTATGAAGTAAAGCTACAGTCATGAGTTAACTTGGCAAGTCAAGTGGAGAGAGGAACACTGTTGCTATGGGTAACCAGTAACTAGTGCAAGATAAAGGCAGCCGGT